AAGTGGGTATAGAAGGTTCTTACCTCAACACAGTAACGGCCATAATATATGACAAGCCCACAGCTAACGTCATAATCAATGGAGGAAAGCTGAAAGCTTTTCTTCTCAGATCTGGTACAAGACAAGAGTTCCCACTCTCACCATTCCTAACAAACACAGTACTAGAAATCCTAGCCAGAGCAATTAGACAAGAAAAGATATAAAAGGAATCCAGATCATAAAGGAAGAAGTAAAAGTATCTCTGTTTGCGCATGACATGATAAGATGTGTAGAAAACCTTAAAGACTCAACAAAAAACTGTTAAAACTAATGAATTGAGTAAAGATGCAGTGCACAAAACCAATACACAAAAATTAGTTGTGCTTCTATAAACAAAAAATGAGCTATCCAAAACAGAATTTAATATTTATTCATAATAGAAAAAACGAATAAAATACTTGGGAATAAATTTACCCAAGAGGTGGAAGACTTCTACACTGAAAATTATAAAACACCAATGAAGCAAATTAAAGAAGACACAGATAAAATGGACACATATCCCATGCTCATGGGTTGGAAGAATTAATATTGTTAAAATGTTCATATTATCCAAAGTGATCCACAGATTCAATGCAACCCATAACAAAATTCCAATATAATTCTTTACAGAAATAGATAATCTTAAAATTCATATGGAACCACAAAAGACTCTGAATAGCCAAAGTAACCTTGAGCAAGAATAACAAACCTAGAAGAATCGTACTTCCTGATCTCAGGGTATATTACAAAGCTACAGTAATCAAGTAAAGGATAGCACTGTTTACAATACTGGCATAAAAACAGACATATAGAACAATGGAACAGGACTGAGAACCCAGAAATAAATCCAGACATCTACAGCCAACTGATCTTTGACAAGCATGCCAAGAACATACAATGGGGAAATGATAGTCTCTTCAATAAACAGTGTTAGGAAAACTGGATATCCATATGCAGAAGAATGAAATTGGACCCTTATCTCACAACACATACAAAAATCAACTCAAAGTAGATTAAAGACTTAAACATAAGACCTGAAACCATAAAACTACTAGAAGAAATACAGGCAAAAGCTTCTGAACATTGGTGTGGGCAATGATTTTTTGGTTTTACATCAAAAGCACAGGGAACAAAGGAAAAATAGACTGGTGGGATAGCATCAGACTGAAAAACTTCTGCACAGCAAAGGAAACAATCAACAAAGTGAAAAGGCAACTCACAGAATAAGAAAAAATGTGTGCTAACCACATATGATAAGGGGTTAATATTCAAAATATATAAGGAATTCCTACAACTCAAGGGCAAAAAAAAAATACATAACCCAAACAAAAAACAGACAAAGGACTTGAAAGGACAGCTCTCCTAATAAGACACAAATGGCCAAGAGGTATATGAAAAGGTGCTCAGTATCACTAATCATCAGGGAAATGCAAATCAAAACCATAGTAATTCCCTCATTGGAGAAGAGAAAATGGGAAAAGTTTGTGGGCCATATACTATGCACCAGGCACTGATCTACCTTAACAATTATAAGTCTAGTTAATGAACATTATAATCCCCATTTTACAGAACAGGGAAGTGAGATTCAGAGAGATGAAGTTTCTTGTGCCACTCAAGATGGAATTGATTATTGTGCTGTATTTGGTCAGACCGCATTCCTTGTCTGGGCCTCATCACCATTGTGAGAATTATATGAAACCATGTATGGGGAAGCCATTTGTAAGACATTTGTGCAATAGGTATTTTGTCCCTAATTCTGGCGTTTTCTTCCCAAGTCTAGCATTGGTTTTTCTGGTGTTTGTACTCTATTGATCATTAGGTGATTAACCTGATAAATTAAGGGCTGTGAAGGTATTTTGGGGTTGCAAATGGTTAGCCCTCCCACTTAATAAATACCTATCTTAACAAGTTCTTCACTATGTTAAACTGGAAATTTGCAGGTATTTTCTCAGAAGTGACTCCCGGGCCAACAAGGACTCCCACCTCTACCTCAATATAAGCATTCCACTTCTGACTGTTTTATGCTTCATTTCTGCATGTACGTTCCAAAAAAAATGAAAATTACTGTTTCCTGCTTTTAGGCAGTAGTCTATAAAAGGGCTAATTACAGCCAGGCTAGTGACTTTCCAAAAATGTGGCTTTTCAGGACGTTCCTGAGCTGCAAACGTTTTCACCTAAGCTGCTTGTTCACGGCCACGTCCAGCTTTGCCCACCAACTGGACAAGGCAGATGCTGAGACTCCATGGTCTTCCTCTTCTCTCACCTGATGCTCTCTTGCTAGCCACCGCAACCTCACCTCCAAGCTAGTCTCTCTGGACTCCCATCCCTTAGCCATAGTTTCAAATCTATTCCCAAAGTTGTCAACAAAGGACAATCATTAGCCTGTTCCAAACAAGGATTCCCCAGGGCAGCTTGTGCTTCTTCCCCAGTGCATGCTCCCAATAAAGCAAACATAACCTCTGTCACTCTGGGTAAAGTATAATCTGGGGTGGGAGGAGGAGGTCATATTCTGCCTTCTGAGGTCATTAACCTCACCTGTCCTAGAACAAATAAGTCCAGGACTACTCTGCTTCTCAAAGTCCTTCTTTTAGCCTCCTATTTATGGCTCCACTTTAAAAAGACAGACTATCCAAAAACTCTGATTCAGCTTTGGTCTGAATTAGTGGAAGAATAGAAATAGGTAAATCCCCACTAAACAGATAAAGGACAGCAGAAGATTATGTCTTACCAATAGAAGCCCTGGAAGTTTTTATTTCTGTGAAATACAGGATAGAATTTGATGGCAGATAATGTTGAAAATGCAATCGATTTTATATTATTTTGTAATTATGCGGCCTTACAATTTTTATTCACCTCTAGGAATATTTAAGACTAAAATCCCACGGTAGCCATCTGGATAGTGAAGTAAGGAAGTATGTTCCCTGTTTATAGCTTCGTTGATTTTCCTCCTCTGTGGTCATGAAGAGACTGATGCAGATGTGAATACGCAACCACTCCCTGAAGATTCCAGGTGGGTAACCAGGAGGGCAAGAGCATCCAGAGCGTTGTGTAAGTTTTTTTGATCCCTCATTGCAGCTGCGACTGCAAGCCACTAGTGGGTTATGGAATTAATTCAGTGCGTTACAACTAGCATTTGAAAAAATTTTTAAATAGAATAAAATGTATCAGATTGTATCACACGTAGTAAGTAAAGAGTGTTCCATGAAAATTTCGAGTTAGATATCTATGTTTGCCAGAAAATGATGTAAATGTATAATGCATTATAATCAAAAAGTTATAAATATTTATTTTTTAAAAATACATATAAAATGTCTTGAATAGCTCAATAAGGACACTCCCACATAATGTGCCTCTTTAACCACATGAGCTCACGAAGCAGTAGAGACTTGAAATGCTCTTGAAGTACTTAAATATGGAATCTCCTAGAAAATTCTGGATCATATTTTTATATACTTTTCCCACAAAATTTCTATATCCACATAGACAAAATGTTTTACATATGATTTAGTGGATTCATATACGTGGTAAATCCAATCCAGGAATTAATGGATCCCTTGTCAAGAACTCTTGCTTTAAGTATTTTTGAGACAAAATATAAATACATATACATAATGTAAAGTCAATTCAAATATTCTTCAATCCATCTCTTATTTAAAAGCAAAGTAATCTTAAATAAAATTAAAAATTTTGAGGTTTATCTGACAGAAAAGAAAACTTTAGAAATAGGCTATGGGGGAGAAGGGGCATAAAGGAGTAAGAAAGGGGCTGCCCCAGGACCTCCACTGCCCCCACCCCTTCAGTGGCCAGTCAGTGCTGCCGGAAGTACGAGGAATGCTCCACCTCACCTGGCAACCCCCTCCTCCTCCACCAATGGAACATTTCTTGGATGCCCCAGCTTCCGCTTGGGCCAGCCAGCAGCCACCTCCCCAGTGCAAGTACCCGTAATCTCTGATGGGAGGGGCTCTGCTGAGCAGGAAAGCAGGGGGCCAGGGGCCCATGGCTGTAGCTGGGAGTTAGCAGCTTTCCTCTCACATGTTGGGGCTTAACTTGGGCATAGTCACAGAGAGGGCAGAGGAGGACACAGAACCCCTCCTCCCTACTCTTGTGCTCCGGGGTCTCTGCTGCCGGGCAAGGGGTCCTGGGGTATGACGAAGATAAGGGAAGGAAAGCTCCTAAAATTACCTTGGAATGTAAAAGAGTCTCCCTGCCCTTAGTGGAAAGCAAAACTCTGGATCTAAAGATTCTGAATGAATTTGAGTAAATTAATGCAGATTTTTATTCTAACCTAATATTCACTGAGCCCTAGACAGGTATGCAGAATAGTTCAAAGGACAGAATGACATAAGCCTGATACTGTGCAGATCTTTGAATTCTAAGGACAGACATGAGCAGAGAAGCTGGGAGGATCCATTGGGAAGAAGTGAGGAGCTGGCACTTCTTGCCACCAAGGGACTTAAAGGAGTTGGACTAGAAGGAAAATGAGAGGCTGCTATAATCATGTGAAAAATAAAAACGGAAACAGCAGGGAAGAGTAAGAAAAATAGCAACTCTGAGAAGAGATAGGCAGACAAAGGAAGGAGGGCAATGAATAAAATCAGTGAGAAACAAAGAAAGTGAATACAGGGGAAAAAAAATCATAACTATTCTGGAAGGAGGCAGCTGCTGGAGGCCTTCCTCTATGAACTCATTTCACAGTTTTCGAACATCATCTATGAGGCAGAAACTTGTTTGATGTTGGCACTGGGGAGAGCACCACGCAGGTAAATAATGACAAGAACTTTCCTACACAGGGCAAGTGGGACTGGGAAGGATACAACACCATTCAATGTGTCCACTGGTCTGGGTCGTGTCCTCACAGGAAAAGTTCATGGTCCATCTCCTTTTGTTCTCTTCAGATTTCACCTGTCCATTTCAGAGTACCTCTTCCTTTCTCATCTTTTATTACTGTCATTTTCCACCTTGAGACTCAAGATTTTTCAACAATGAAAAATAAAACCATGTTGACTGAGTTCATCCTGCTGGGTCTAACAGATGCCCCTGAAATGCAGGTGGTGGTTTTCACCTTTCTGCTCCTTGCCTATTTACTCAGCATCACTGGAAATCTGACTATCCTCATCCTCACCTTACTGGACCCCCACCTTCAGACTCCCATGTATTTCTTTCTCCGGAACTTCTCCTTCTTAGAAATTTCCTTCACGAACATCTTCATTCCCAGGGTCCTCATCAGCATCACAACAAGGAACAAGAGTATCAGCTTTGCTGGCTGCTTCACTCAATATTTCTTTGCCATATTCCTTGGGGCAACAGAGTTTTATCTCCTGGCTGCCATGTCGTATGATCGCTATGTGGCCATCTGTAAACCCCTGCATTACACAACCATGATGAGCAACAGAGTCTGTACCCAGCTGGTTCTCTGCTCTTGGCTGGCTGGGTTAATGGTTATTATAGTACCAATCACTCTGATGAGTCAGCAGGACTTTTGTGCATCCAACAGGCTGAATCACTATTTCTGTGACTATGAGCCCCTTCGGGAACTCTCCTGTTCCGACACAAGCCTCATAGAGAAGATTGTCTTTTCTGTGGCATCTGTGACCCTGGTGGCCACTCTGGTGCTAGTGGTTCTCTCCTACACATTCATCATCAGGACAATTCTGAAGCTCCCCTCTGCCCAGCAAAGAACAAAAGCCTTTTCTACTTGTTCTTCCCACATGATCGTCATCGCCCTCTCTTATGGAAGCTGCTTCTTTGTTTATCTTAAGCCCTCAACAAAAGAACCAGGCACATTCAACAAGGGAGTAGCCCTACTCTTTACTTCAGTTACACCTTTGTTGAACCCCTTCATTTACACTCTAAGGAACCAACAGGTAAAACAAGCCTTCAAAGATACAGTCCAAAAGCTTATGAATCTTTACAGAATTTCAGAATTAAAGCCTTAGTGGATGAGTCCTTACTGTGTACAAAGCTGTCTGCCAATTGCTAGGTATCCAAAAAAGAGTTAAATTCCAATGAGAGAGACTTGGAAATAAATAAATTACAATCTGTTAAATGTTTATATGAAGAAATGATTAAGGTTTTATAAATGAAAAAGCAACGCAACCTGCCTTAGAGAGTCAATAAATGTTTTCAGAGAGGATGCCAGTTAAACTTAGTCTTGAGAAGTAGGAATAAGTCAAACAAGCAGAAACAGAGAAAGAGAAATTTGGGTAGGAAGAATATTGCTGGTAGGAGCACAAAATTTTGGTCCAACTGGATTGAGTAAACATTGTCATTAATTTCAATGAAACAAAAAAGAGAAAGGACAAAAGTTGTGGAGATGACAGCTTTAGTTTTTAATGAAGTTAAATCCCATTTTAAATAAATTAAATGCCCATAATGTCAAGGCATCTGAATTTGGGACCAGATCTATGGATTTAGCAGTCCTTACCAAGTAGATGATAATTGATGTTGTGGCAAGAGACAAGGTCATGAACAGAAGCAAGTTTAGAAAAGGTTCAAATATTAAACTCTAAGGATCCCCCCTAAATTTGAAGAGTGGAAGAGGCAGAAGTGATATTAAGAAAGGCAATAGATCTGTGGAATTCATGGGATGAGAATGTCTCAAGAAACGTAGATGGTTGACAACGTGAAATGCTGCAGAGGGCAATTAGTGTGAAGATTGAAATTATGAGAACTAACAATTAGAGTGTTGTTGTTGATCTCAATCATTTTCAGTAAATGTGGTCCTTGTGGGTAGGGTAGGAAGTCAGACTGTAGTGCGATACCGGTGGGTGGGAGCTGAAAAGTTAGAGAATGGTAAAATGGAATTTCAAGAGTGGAGAAATGAAAAGAAGAACAACCTCCAAGTTATGCTTCCTATGACTTCTCATTACTAGTATCTGTGCTTTGTCATTACTAGCATATAAGAGCAATGATTATATACTTAAAGTCTGTATTTGCCTCTAGTCTGTAAGATCTAGAGTGCAGGGATAATGTCTTCTTGATCACAATTCCATCCACAATGTCAAATAATTAGTCATTGAATGGATGAATATATAATGGATGGGAAGACGGATGGATGGACAAATGAATGAGGGAGCCCAAAACTGATTTTTTTTTTTAAGTACAGAAGCGTGATCATCTGAGAGTTTATATATTGAAAACAATGCGTTAGCAAGGCATACCTCACACGGACTCACTTGATCTGCCTGGAAATTCCACTCTATTTTACAGATGAGGAAGCTGAAGTTTAAAGAGGTGAAGTAACTTGCACAAGGTCACACGTCTGAGTGCCTGAACTAGAATTAGAAGCCAAATTTGTCTGGTTCCGGAGTCCAACTGCTTAACACTGAGCAATACAACCTCCCAGCCATTCTAACTTGTTTTAAAGTTCATTCCACTAAGCATTTCTAAGTATTTTGAGTAGCCTTGGCTTTCTACCTGTTTCCCACTTTTTCCAGGCTCTCAACAAGCTTTAGATAGAAGCCTTTAGGATATGAATCTCTTTAGGAAGTTGAAAGCATATAAAAGCCCATAGTATTCCATTTATGACTCTTTTTTTAATATATATATGATTGATTTAATTTTTTTCAGCAGGAGAAAAAAGAATAAAGTTACAAGATTCTTTTAATATTTTCACAATGTTAAAACTGAAACTGAGCTCTAGGTTATGTGTGTAAGTAAATCTAGAACACAAAAGGGTTAAAAAAGATTGCTCTCTTTTAAAAACACAAGAATTTAAGCTTTCCTTACATTTAACAAACTTCACAGAACAGATACTGCAAGGAAACAAGCTCTTCCCCTCATCGCCAGCCGTACCCTCAGGAAGCGAACACGGGGTGCAAGTCCTGTGTGCCGCTGCTCCCCATCACTGATCAACTGCCAGATCCTTGCACTTGGCAAATGGCGACCCAGAGCCAGTGGAGTCAGGCTGTGCCCCCCTGGTGGCTTCTCATGACCACGGGTCCTGTGTAGAAGAGTGGGGTCTCCTCTGTGGACTAGTCTTGAGCGGAGCTAATTTTCAAAGTGAGGTTACCGTTTCTCTCCTGGCGTGATGAGAGACTTTTTTCATAGCAAGTCAGATAAAAAATTTTCATGAGAACCTGTCCCTTACCCCTACTTCCAGCTCTGTGGGAGAGCAAGGCCACCACCCAGCCCAGCCACGTGGGCAATCTCAGCAGCCTCCTGTGGCCCAGGCACACGTGGCCATCAGGGATCCTGGCTACTGGGACTAAAGATAAGTGAAGAGGTGAAAGGCTGAACATTAACCAGAGTTTCTGGCAAAGCTGTGTGCGTCGTCAGAACTTTAACACCAGTTTCTACTCCTCTGTTAAGTCAGAGTCTGTCTGAAACACTTTCCGCTTAAGGCTTTTTATGAGTTTGACTACAGCAGTGACAGGTATGTGCTGTTTTAAATCCACTAGCCATCCTCAAAAAAAAATATTCTTCATGTTTTAATTTTATACAGTGGCTAGCAGGCACCTTAGTAACCAGCCAGAAATCAGTTTCAACCACCGTCAACCCCTAAACTACAGCACCAGGATGGCTGACTGAAGAAAGGAAACGGACTGGTGGAAGTCTGACGGGTGCCCAGTATACGGTGTCTGGCTGACTTTGTCCTAAATGAGGATAACATTAGTGAACTAAGAACAGCGTCGTGCAGTGGCCGTGCCTGGCCTTTAGGAGCACCCCTCCCCGATGCGCTGGCAGGAGCGCCCCACTTTCTGGTCCAGTTTCACCATTTTCATGATGGCTTCCTCTGGGCCGTGGCCCCTGTGGTCAAATGTGCAGTCATGCTGCTTGGGGAGGCGATGTAATATACACAACACGTAACCACAGCGGCACCATCCCAATTCCTGCTGCACCAGCTCCAGTTTGGTTTGGCACTGGGAGCACCAACGTAGACTCTTCTGTTTAGATCGGCTGGTTTCCTGGGATGGTTCAGTATTCTGCAGTAGTGGTGGCCCTTTCACTGGCGAAGCGTCATTCTCAGGCTGTAAATCTGTACCACAGCATCTTTTGGTTGGCGTGATTAACGAGACATGAGCTGTGTCTGTGCATGGCCCATACGTCTCTTTACTTGGGTGAAGTCACATTGAGTTCTGTCGGAAGAGGCTGCTGGCTGGGACTAAGTTGGCGTGGTTATCGAAGTATTGTTGTCACTGGTGGTCTCCTCGGAAAACAAATTTGCTTGGCTCTTGTGCTTGGGGCAGAATGATCGTCTGGTTGTTTCTTTTGAAAATCTTGTATCCTAGCCTATGGAGAAAATTGTAATCTACTCAATGTGGCTGGATTCATTTAAGTTTCCTTTAATGAGTAATCTCGTCTAGCTTCAGCAAAGCATTTGGAACAGGGGTTCATAGTCTTGCTGGACCCCCAGAAGCCGCAGGAATAGCGAGGCAGCAGGCTGGGCGCTTTGCTGTGCTCGCTCTGGACGCCTCTCATGGAGCTCAGCGGCCGCAGAGGTGGCAGCAGCTGGGTCTGGGCCCTACTTGGAGGAGGCGGCAGCCCACTTATGACTCCTGACTTCTTTTAAGAAGCTTCTCCTTTTTGTGTCCGTGTCTTCTCTGAACAACGTGAGACTTTTATTTTTTACGTTTAAGAAGGAACAGAAAGACCCCAAGAGCATGGGACCCGAGAGAGCAGTATGTTTCCTTCAGCCCTACCCCCGTAAGCTTCCGACGAGGATTGTTATGAACAAGGAGGCTCATATCTACTGCTAACTGTGCTGCCTCCTCCTTATTCATCTTCTTTCTGAGTGATGGTCAATGGTTTTGGTTCCTGGGCTTAAGGGCAGGAGTGATGGCCTTAGAGCATATAACACAGTGCCATGCCCATAATAGGCACTCAGTAAATGTTCAGTTAGTAAAAGAATAAATAAATGAGTGATTATGTTTTTACTACATAACGTTCAAGCAATTTTCATAAGCTTTTCTATTACCTACTTGTGTTTTTTAAAGGGCCAAACTCTTTCTCTTCTGAATACTTTTAAGCAAATTTTGAACCACACAGTTATTTCTTTGTAGAGACATCCACAAATAAATCTTCTGTTAATGTTACTTGTTTAATATTATTCTAAGAGCTATTTTCTGCTTTTCTCAGGGATATTCATAGGTAAATAAATAAAAAGCAGAGCCAAATTTTCACGAAAGCAGTTTACGTATGTTTAGAAGTCTAAGAGACACATATACATTTTAAAAAATGTTTTCCCCATCCATCTATCTATCTACACTCTACTATTAGGAATTAAATTATTTGATTTGAAGTCTTTCTTCCTATTAAAATGCAATTAAGAGAAGTGGTGTATTGGTGCACTGTAGTGGCAAATATCCCCCAATCTCAATGGCTTACATAACAAAAGTTTATAATCTCTCATACTATATACGTACAATGTAAGTCAGCAGCAAACTCTGCTCCATGTGGTCTTTCTGCATCATCTTACTACATGCTGCCATCTCCACATGAGATGCTTCAAGTGTCACAAAAGGAAACACGCAGAACTGGAATGTCTGAAACCTGCAATTGAATGCTCCACCCAAAACCCACTGGCCCAAAGGAGTTAACAACTGCAAAGATCCAAGAAGTGTGATCTTCTCACACACACGGAAAGAAGGAAAAGAGAACATGAGAACTTGTGTGCAAAAGATGAGAACACCCTGTGGGCTAGAAAATGTGACCTTTTTTCCAAATGACAGCCAAGTTGTAAACAGGATTGGCTACGGAAATTTGGCAGAGCAAATTACTGGTGTGGAAGCTGCAGTGAGATAAAATGAAGGAGACAACTTCCCATAGTTTGACATTTTTAAATATAAATCATATCATGTCACCCTGTTCCTTAAAACCCTCTAATGGTTTCTCATTATTTAAACTCCAAGTTCAGAGGAGTCAAAGGAAAAAAATGAAGAAGAGTGAAGAAAGCCTACATAAATTATGGAATATCATTCAAAGAAACAATTTACAC